CCTCCTCTGCTCCAGACTGAACCCCCCCAGTTCCCCCAGCCGCTCCCCAGCAGACCTGTGCTCCAGACCCTGCCCCAGCTCCGTTGCCCTTCTCTGGACACAGCAGCTTCAGGAAAAATCACCATCGCAGCTCAGCGTGGACGGGAGAGCCACTGGCAGCACCAGCAAGACCATTAGGAAATAATTGATTGAAGATACAGGAATTGTGGATGATTTATGTGGAAACGCAGGAAGTAGCGCTGGAAAGGCCTGCAGAAGTTCAGGCTGGCTTTAGCTCTGTCCCTTCTCCTGGCTCCTGTTTGCTGTCGAAGCTGAAATGCCCTAGAAACAGATTTTTTTCCTATTTCCAAACAGCTGGAGGGGGCAGTGAGGGCTGTAAACTGACTGCAGTGGAAAAAACAAGGCAGAAGAGGTGCAGGCACTGACAAATTGCCAAATGCATCTCAGGAACAAGCTAAAAATATTTCCCCGAGGGCAATATTCTCCCACAGCCCCGGCCCAGACCTGCAGGCTCTGTTCCTGGTAGCGTTGATGCAATCAGGACCGTGGTGTGAGGCAGAAAACGTGGTTATCTGGGGTGTTAGAGAACAATAATAATTTTATCAGTTTTAGTTCAGTTGATGGATAATTCGGGAGGTGCCACAGCCCCTCTGTGCTGGCCGTGCTGATGCATCCCACAATGCTGGCACTGGGCATCACATCCTCCCTTGCTTTCCACCCCTGGCACAGCTGGTCCATCGTAAATATTTTTTCAGTTAAACCGTGAAAAAGTTGTGTTTATTTTTGTGATTTTGGTGTTTCTCATGAATTCTACCATTCTTAGGCACAGACTTTTGAAATTTTTCTCCACTTTTTTTTTTTTTTTGGCTTACGGTTTTTAAACCACGAGCAGAAAATGAGCACCGCTCCAGCCCTTTGGCTGATAATTTTCTAAGAAAAATAGTCACGTTTTCCCGATGTGGAGTCTCCGGTGTCTAGCTGTGGTTGTGCAGCCCCATGAAGCTGGAAGGGGACATCTCCACGATGCGGGATGAACAGCACACGGCAGCATCTCCATCCCGGGACTCACCCTGGACACGTGCCCGTGGTTTGTCGCAACGTGCCGGGACAAGCTGTCCCTCACCGGCGTCATTTGAGGTCGCTGGTGGAGAAAGCCAAACAAAATAAACTGAAAATATGTGCTTAATTCATGCCAATACAAAAAACCCCTGAATAATGCACGTGTGTCATCCTGGAAATATAGTAACAGCGTGTTGAAGGGAATTCGGATGGAAATAAGGCAGCTGGAGGTATTTTCCCAGGAAGGCTGGTACCTGGCACCATGGTTTGGGAGGTCAGTTAACGATGAGACGAGTCTTTAAGCACCAGGACTGATATGTCACTTTGAAAACTCGACCACAAAGCTCAGAGAGAGCGGAGACAAGCAGAGAGATGCTTTTGGCTATCCTGGAAGAGTCTTGTGAACTTTTCCTTGAATTAAAGAGGAAAATAGAATGCGGATGTGGGATTTTTTTCTGCATGCAAGTCCCTGGCTGGTGCCCAGATCCAGGGGATTTTATCAATCTGCTTCAATAAAAAAGAAAATAAGAGAGGGAGAGGTTTGTAGTTACCACAGATCCTGCTTGGAAGCAAGACTTTGTAACGGTCACAGCTCTCCCCATCCATCTATGTTTACACCATTTCCAATTCAGTATAAAGGTTTAAAAGCAAACCTAAATCTTGGTCACACATCTTAAGGGCTGTGACAGCACCAGAAATCTGAATCCCTAAAGATTTCCTCCCCTTTTTACCCCTCGGCACGTGTTTTGTCTCAGCAAACGGACTGAAATCAGTGCAGCAATGGCACAAGATGCCGGGGTCATGATCCTGGAGAGCAGAGACACCGGGGTCTTGCCGTCAAAGGACTTGGGCGTTTTTTGGAAGAGGAGATTATTTTACAATCAAATCAACCAGAGAAAAAAAGTGCTTTGATGGGATTAGGATGATGAGATTAGGTTTAAAAACTGAAAGACGTAAATGGGCCTTGCATGTTCTTGTTTCTTCCAGACTTTTGATGTTTCTGGTTGGATTTCTTGCTCCACTCCCTTCGCAGACTTGGCTGCAGGTTGTCTTGGCACTGGAAGGGCTTTTCATTTCTTTTGTGGCATGGCTTCAGGCTTGGCAACATGTGAGGGCGTTGCAAAACGGCCCGTGGCGTTTCCTTGAAACACTCCCAGAAATTTTGCTGCCACCCCGAGAGGAGGCTGAGAACCAACGTGCTCAGCACATGCGTGGCTGCCACAACACTCGTGCCCTCTGGGCACGGCGCCTGCAGCTCTTTGAGGTGACCCAGGGGACATGTCACAGCCCCACCAAAACGGGGCAGCCCCCTGCCCTGGGATGTTGTGGGAATAGATAACAGATTGGGGCAGGATTTTTAGATTTTTATCTCCAGGTGTTTTGGGTGCCTGGGGGAGCATGTTGTGTCCCCACTGCCACCGTGCTCCTGTCCTCATTGTCCTCCTGTCCCACCGTGCTCCTGTCCCCATCATGTTCCTGTCCTCACTGTGCTCCCATCCCCACTGCCATCACACTCCCGTCCCCATCGCTGGTGCATTCCCACCCCCAGTGTGCTCCTGGCATCCCTCTGTCCTGGCCATGCCTTGACTTGTCCTGGCTGTGCATCACATCCTGCACATTGCTCCATCCCAGCTGTGCATTGCTCCATCCTGGCCGTATATATTAGGAAGTATTGCTGTGCAGAAGGGGCTGTTGGGCGTTGGAATGGGCTGCCCAGGGCAGGGGGGAGTCCCCGGGATCCCTGGAGGGGTTGAAGAGTCGGGCTGAGCCAGTGCTGAGGGATCTGGGGGAGTTGGGAACGGTCAGGGGGAGGGTCATGCTTGGGCTGGAGGAGCTTCAGGGCTTTTCCAAATGAGATGAGTCTGTGATTCTGTATATTGCTCCATCCTGGCTGTGCATCGCTCCATCCCGGCCATGCACTGCTCCATCCCAGTCGTATATCGCTCCACCCCAGCCATGCATCACTCCTTCCCCTCTGGGGACTACTCCAGCCTGGCTGTAAGTTGCTTTATCCCCACTGTGCATCTCTGCATCCCAGCGCTGGAGCATCACCTCTCCACAGTGATTCGTGTCAGGAGATAGGAGCAGGCAGTAGCCAGGGTCATGGGTCCAGGCATGGGCATGGTTTTGAGGCAACTAAGAAACTTTCTCCATTGCACCAGAGAATAGAAGAGAAATTCTAACATCCTCTTGTGAAATCGACCTCAAATCAAGGCCAAAGGGGAAGCACAAGCCCTTCTGTGGATGAAAAAAAGCCGTAATTCATAGATCATCACTACCCTAAGCCTGGCCATGTGATGCTCAGATTTCAGCTGCCTCCGGGGTTGTGGGCTGCAGCCTCCGGGAGGGAGAAAACCCCAGGAAGTAGCTGAACTCACACAGCGCCTGGAATTCTTCGTGTCCAGCTGCAAAATGAGCAGAGAAGAAAGAGGGTGGCGAGTGCAGCTGAAACGCAGCAGCTTGGGGGCAGGACGCAGCCAGGATGGTCGCTGCAGGGGAATGGAATTCTATAAGAAGTCTTCAGCGACCAGAGGAGCTGCTCTAAGTGACCACAAATGGGCCAGAAACGGAGCTTTCGCCTTCTCCATCCCCCGTGCACATCCACAACCAGCTCACCACTGTCTTTTTGCAGGCTGGCTGGGGCTTTCCCAGCCCTGGGGCACCACTGATACTCCACTCCCACCCCCAGGCAGGATTTGTCCCCCTCTGGGTGCTGCTCAACACAGCGAGCCAGGGCCAGAAGGTGCTTAATCTCCCTGAATCTCTTTTTTTTTTTTTTTCCCCTCTCCTCCAGCACCACTTCGATGCAGCCGCCCCAAGGACGTGGCCAACGCGCACATCGACGCGGACAACAACTTGCTGCTCAACACCAACCTGCGCTACACCTGCAACCCGGGTTACAAGCGCCAAGCTGGTACCTCCAGCCTCATCCAGTGCGTCCTCCCTGAGGGGTCCAGCAAGCCCGACTGGACCCAGACCACGCTGAAATGCATCCGTAAGCCCTCGCTCGGCAGCCGGGATGCGATGGGGACCGGGGTGGGGGGACACCTCCATCACCAGCGTGGCGGAGGAGGATGCGGGGCAGCCTGGGGGTTGTTCTTGATGGTGTTTCCATGTTGTGTCTTCCCAAAGGGGACCCGGCTCTACCTCCACAAACCCCCAGCCCTGAGCTCCTGACCACGTCGCACACTGAGAGGACCCAGAGGGGTGAGGAAGGGGCAAACGACGCCCACGGGGGGGGTTGGTTTGGGGCTGCTGTGACCGTCGTCACGGCAAAACCAACACTGCTGTGGTGTAGAAAGCAAAGTATTTCAATTGCATGATTGAGGAGCGGCTGAGGGAACTGGGGGGGTTCAGTCTGGAGAAGAGGAGGCTGAGGGGAGACCTCCTGGCCCTCTGCAACTCCCTGCCAGGAGGGGGCAGAGAGGGGGGATGAGTCTCTGGAGCCAAGGAGCCAGCGCCAGGCCCCGAGGGAATGGCCTCAAGCTGCCCAGGGCAGGGTCAGGCTGGCTCTGAGGAAGGATTTCTGTGCAGAAGGGGCTGTTGGGCGTTGGAATGGGCTGCCCAGGGCAGGGGGGAGTCCCCGGGATCCCTGGAGGCGTTGAAGAGTCGGGCTGAGCCAGCGCTGAGGGATCTGGGGGAGTTGGGAACGGTCAGGGGGAGGGCCATGGTGGGGCTGGAGGAGCTTCAAGGGCTTTTCCAACCCGGATGGTTCTGGGATTCTGTGGCCCTATGAGCCACCTGCTCTCTCCTGTCCTGGTCACGGAGCTCCCACCGATTTACCATGTGCTCAGTAGGGGAGCTCAGCCTTCGCTGCACCCTCTGGGCAAGGACCCACCCCAGCACCAGAAGGTGGGATCAAAGCTGAAACTGGACCCAAAAGTCAGATTGTCACTGGGGTGAGGGGTGCTCTGCTAAGCACACACGGATGTTCCATGGCCTCAACAGAGGCTCTAAGAGTCAGATACAGGATCTGACACAACAAAACCCCCAAACTGGCCCCACCTGAGTCCACAACTAGTCTCAGAAGGGAGGTTAAGGCACGAGTGGATCTGTGGGATCTGCAACACCACCCCGAAGTGGGAAGTGACCCCCAGTTAGGAGCCGGGGCTGTGAACAGAAGCAAAGGGCTGGAGAGCCATGGGCTATGGGACTCTTCCCACTCACTTCCACCCAAGCTCAACGCCCAGGATGTCCCTCCCTGGTGTGACAGCTCAGAACAGTCACAGCACCCAGCTGCCCCACAAGCCACTGGAGGGGCTGGTAAAGGCTCCTGTTTCAGAAATGTGATCTCAAAAGCCCGGGGAGGGGACGTACGTGAGTCAAAGGCAGCTTCTTCACAACCAGCCTGGAGTCGGGCTGCAGCGTTCCTGTACACTGTGGCACAGAACAAGCTACAGCAGCCCTGTCCTTTGCAGCCACACTCAGCTCCACTCGAAGGAAACCCTCCTAAGAAACAAGAAAAAAAAAAACAACAGTAACACCACCACTCAGAGGGAGCTGAGATACTGGAACGGGTTGTTTCATATTTTTATTTACTCCCTGGGAAGTGACTTGCAACATTATTGTTTTTAAAATACAAACCAAAAAAATCTCCAAACCCCCAGTAACAAAAATCAAGCAGAAACCAGCAGCAGATCATGAGGAAGTGAATAAGGTGGAAACCACTGCAGGCAGAGAAAAGGGAACCCACACGCTTGCACTGAGTTAAGAACTCAGGCCCTGCGGAAGACAACACCCAAATGCAAGGACTGAAAAGAAAAAAATAATGCTGCAACCTTGTGTCTTGCTGCTGCTGAAATCACGGTACAGAGCAGCGTCAACTGAGGGAAAAATGTGTCCTCAGCTATTTTGGTCTGTGCCAGCACAAGCCAGGGCACAGTCCACGCTCAGCATAAGCTGAATCTCACTATAGTCTTCTTTTATGCTTCTCTACCACACACTCCTCCTCCAAACACAATCATCGGAGAGACGGGCAGATTTTATGGTAGTGAGTGCTGACTCTCCTGACAGTTTTTTAAATTGGCAGCTGCCCATCCTGCCTGAGACATCATCGCTTGCAGAGCTGCCTCAAAACTCCAAACCCTAACGGGATTCCCAGCGGGGTGGCTGGGAGTTTGCCCTCCCTGGCTGTCTGCTCTGCCTCTGGAGCACTCACACAGCGGCTGAGGAACTGCTGCAGCTCACAGGCAGGGCTGCTCAGCCAGACCCCACGTGACAATGGCTTGTTTTAGTGCCAGTATCAGGACCCTAAATCACCCCACTCGAGGATTTGCTTACCTTGGGAAGATTTCACTTACCCCAGCCAATGCTAAAAGGTATTCCAGGGACTTTGACATTAACAAACACTTCTTCGCACGTGTCACTGCTACATAGAGCAGGTTCCATTCATCCTCAGGATACATGGCTAGGTTGGAGAAAAAACCTATTCATAGCTTTAGAGAACAAGAACGAACAGCTCTGCCATTCTGCTAATGCTTCAGCTAGTATTTCTGGGAGGTGCTCCTCTGGGAGAGCATGAACTTGCAGAGCAGCACAGCTGTGCAGCACCCTCCTGCATTTGCTGTGCAGATCCTGCCACCACCGACAGCTCCTGCCTCATTCCATCTTCCTCCCCCAAAGGCAGGACTCTACACACCTAGAGAAGCAGCTCACTGCTACATGTTTTCCCACCTCCCAGGCACAGGCTTGGCACTGGGGGGTTTCTCAGTCTCTAGATTCACTCTGCAAGCTCCTCTCTGCTCGCTGGGAAGGGACGGGCTCTTCCAAAGCACGAACTGTGGAACTTAAGCAAAGCTCAGTCTATCCCAAGTGTGGAGTTGGTCTTTCTCTGTTGTTAGACAGCTACGAGCTCGAGTGCAGGAATATTCCCCTGCCTCGCTGTGAAGGAAACTACAAGATCAAGAATCGCTAGGACAGCCAGTGGCACGTGCCACCACCAAGAAACTCAGGGGACAAGGGCTGGTCGCACACTTTGCTTTCCTGCTTTCAGAGCAGGCTGGGTACCACACACAGCTGTTTCCTTACCAATACTGAAGTTAGTTATTCTCTGGTGATCCCCACTGCGACACGGCACTTTCACAAAGTCATCTGCAATCATCACTGTATCAAACTCCAGACCTTTGGCTTGGTGGACAGTACCTATTATGTAATCTGTAACCCATGCACGTGGGGAACAAGAAGGAAAAAGAAGGGGAAAGATCAGTCATCGCAGCAATAAAGGTATTTTTAATTTCACAAGGCGCCAAGTCAAATGAAATTATTTCATTCTGCATTCATTTCACTTCTCTCCAAATACAAACCAGAAGCAAAAAGAACCTGCACTGGAAATCTAAACTGCTGAAAACAACTTCTTTGCCAAGGAAAATACCTGGTTGGCAGCAGCCTGAGCCTCAGCCTCAACTGCCAAGCAGGAATTCCCTCTTTCTGATTAATTTTTAACGTGATTGATTTGTCCCCTCCCCAAATTTTAGTCAGCAAGTTACAGGGCCATCCCTACAGGAGTGCCAAAAAGCAGGACAAAGCCCTAGGGCGTTCCAACTGGAGGAAATAATTGTGTCCAAAAAGTTTATCTGCTTGTAGCAAAGTCACATTAAGCAATTCTTTGGTGGCAGATTCATTGCACTGAACTCCACGTGGAGCCCCAGATGTACCCCAAAAGCTGCTGTTCAACTTCCTTTCTCCCTAAAAGACTGACTTGATACAAAGTTAGTCTTTTTGCAGAACAAGGTGGATTCAGCGCTGAAGCTCGATTGAAAGAAGACCTGAATTTGCTCCCCTATCAAAGACACAGCTTGGCTTTACCTGCCATAGCTTGTTGTTGCACGTGGCTGCTCTCAATCTTCTGCACCAGCTCAGGGATCCGCTCTCTGTATTTCTCTACTAATGCAATCTTCACTTCCAGGTCTTTGTCTTCGACACGCTCTGCATAATCCTTGAAACCGATGAAGCCCTCAGTTTCTTCCCATTTTTTGATAAAGGAGTCTTTTATAACAAGATTTGCTGAAAAAGAAAGTACCAAGTGATATGAGCTTACTTGACAGACACATATAATGGCATTTTTAAATTCTAATCAAATTTCAGAGTAAGTATTACGGAAGGGAAGTGTTTGGCAGTCGATGGACTGTTGCTGTGGGATGTCAGGGCTTGGGATATACTCCTCGCTCTGTGATCGGTGGGTTTTGCTCAGGATTTTTTCTTTACTGATGCAAAACATACTCAAGTGCTTTCATCAGAGTGGGTAGTTTCACAAAACAGCTTCACTTTGAGATGCAGCACTGGTGTACGATGGAGGGTACGGAAGTGTAAGGAGCTCAGGAGAGAGCCGGTCGGCAAACATGCCCCGAGCTCACCCATTTCTAGAGCATGTGTCCTAGAAAGTCTGCAAAACCTTCATCCCAGAGATATTCAGAAATCGAAGGGAAAAGATCCTGAGCAGTCTGAAAAGATTCTAACATGACTTCAGAGCAGCCAGAGGCAGGACTCAGGGCAGAAACAGCCCCAGGGCCCTTCCAACCTGCGTTATTCTCTCTTTTTACCCGGTTGGCAAGGAATTTTCCTGGTAGCTCACCTTCCAAAGAACCAATAACAACACCCATATAATCAATCACTCGTGGCAGTTCAGTAAGTCCTTTGTTTGTCTCTGCGCCCCATATATAAGCTATATATAACAGTACTTGTCTACAGCTGCCGTAAGATTTTAAATGAGTGATTTACTTCCCAAACGATACCCATCAGTGAAAAGAAAGCAGGTCATTCAGCACACCAGGTTTAAAAACAAAACAGGAAAAGCCTATGACAAATGAAAAATGAAGTAAAATCAGAAAACACAGGGGGGGAAAAAAAAATCCCAATTTATGAGTTTACTTGGGCTCTTGCCCTCAACATAAGGCATCACAGCAGAAAGCTTGGGAGGGCTGCATGACACAGGCCCCACAATTTCAGCATTTCTGGTATTGACACCAGTCACCGAAGCCCATGACACTACCATTGAGAAGTCAGTTTTCAACAGATAACTGCGTGAGGAAATATAAAATAAAACACCAAGAAGCATGCTGCTTTCCGTCACTGCAGCAAAAAATAAAATGTCTCTGCCACTGGAGGGAGGATCACAGGGAGAAGGGTGAGGATGGACTCACCTTTTTTCCGTTCATCTGCGGGTTGACTGAGTTTCCAAATATCATGAATTCTGTCCAGGCCAAAACGGCAAAGACCCTAAAACAAACAACAATTTATCTTAATAGACAGGAGTAAAGGTGCTGTCTAGAGTTTCTAGATAAGCTAGCAGGGCCAGGTGGCTGGTGGTGGTGAGAGGGAGGGAGAAAGAGAAATGTGCTGAAGAAGCAGGACTGGTTTCCTGAAATTTCTGGAGCTGTAGCACAACCAACGGCAGCTGAAAAAGCAAAGATCCAGCTCGCTCTGCAGACAGACAGACAGATGGAACAGGAACTGTCTGACTGGAATTGTAACAGAGCTACGGCAGAATTTTATACTCAAAGTCTTTTCAAAGAAGAACAAAATTCTGTAATTTTGGGGTTTGGTTATTTTACCTTCCAAAAGCTGCATATTGCTTTGTTAGAAAGAACTTTAGAAGTTTGTTGTGCCATAAATGCTGCTGGCCTACTGACTCCACATTGTTCCACGGCAAAGCCAGCTCTAGGCATGACTGCATCCTCTTTCCTGAAGCAATGGGCCACCACAACGAAGATAAACTTATTAAACTGACTGTAAATGTTTCCCTTTCAATGTTAAACTGAAACAAAAGGCTTTGCTTCCACAATTTTTATTTTCAGGAATTATTTTTCCCCCCTTGTTTCCCAATTCAGTTTGCTTTGTACCATCGAAAGAAGTGTCAGTCTGAACTTTGCCTTAATCCACACTGCAAAGGCAGACGAGGATTTTGGTCCTGGGTAGACAGTTCAAACATTCATTCCACTGCAATATGCAGTTTCCCAGTGCAAAAGAGAAATTAAAATATCAGCCTAAAATTCGAAAGACCGGGCTCTTGCTCAAACACATTCAGCACTAGGACAACTGTTCACGTGCTTCTGTGTTTCTGGGTGCAGGACAAGATCTCAAATTAAATCATAGGTATCGATGATTCAGAGTCTGAAGACTAATGATTCCTCTGAGGCTTTTGAAATGTGGAGCCTTATTAAAACCTCCCCGCCATTCAAGCACACAAATTTCTGCAGACGTGCGCGCACACACATGCTCTCCTTCAGACCTGTGGGTGCCTTTTGCAAATGAAAAATCAATGCAAACCTCAGAACTGTTGCTCCCTCAAGGGGTTAGCATTCACCATTGCTGAAAATCCCTATTTCCCTCACCAAAAAGGCCGGTGCAGCAATTTTCCTGGGTGTATCAACACAGGGACTAGACCATCACAGGACTGGAAATGAGTAATGAGCACAGCACAGCCCTCTGTGGCATCCACAAGCCCAAAGGTCACCTTCAGCTTCAGCCATTGTCTTTGTCTCTTAAGAGAGCTTGAAAAATTGCTTTTTATACTCAGCCTGCAATTATTTTGAGTTCTCTAATGCAGGAGCACTGTGCCAGTCAGCAGTCAGCAGTGCTCCATCTAATGCAAATACTTGCAGCGACTTGTTCCAGCCACATATCACCCTGCCCCTGCCCCAACCCCATCCAGCAGACCAGAGCTGCTGCCCGCTCAGCTGAGCCTGATGAAAAGAAAAAAAAAAAAAGAGATGAGCCTAAAAAGGGATTGCCTGCATCGATCTGAGAACAGCAGCTCCATAAAACCTCTTCCCCAGCCACAACAGATTGCTGCTTTCCTCCTTGAATACTGGTTTTAAACCTGGGTGCTACAGACAGCAGATCAGCCACACCTATTTCAAGCCACAGCGTAGGCGTCTCTGTTACAAGGGCTAACAGGTTTGGGGACTCGAGGTTGGGATGTGAAAGACACGTTGGCTATCTCCCCTTACCCCAATCATGTGTATTTTAATTGGTCTCTCTCTTCCAGTAAGTCTCACAGCGTCCTCAAACACGTTGAAATTGCTCCGTGATAAGATTGTTATCTTCCCTTCCATGCTGCCTCTCACATCACCTGCATGAAGAAATTCCCAGTTAGCCAGGGCGGTCAGAAAGCAGGTTTAGAAACTTAAAAGATCTTCATAAATCAGGATCAATCCTGACACGTTTTGTTTATTTTGCAGCGGCTCTGTAACTCCCAGTCACCGAACAGAGCTGACTGAGCCGAGAGATGCACCGACACGACTTACCCTTTTGGTTTCCACCCACTAATGTCTTATTCCTGATCCCCTTGCAGACATCCAGAATGGTTGCTCCAACGTAAGCTATTTCAGGACCAAATCTGAAACTCTACGTGGAAAAATGAAGGAAACAGCAGGAAAAGAAGAGGAGCTTGTTAGAACCTACAAAACTATTACTATATATGGAACTATACAATTCCCACCAACCTTCTGGCCAACCTTTCTCTTAGAAAAAGCACCCAAATCCACACACCCCACACCACCCCCCCCCGACTATTCCTAGAAAGCCTGGTCACTCTTACACCCAAGACAGTAGGAACTGTGCTGTGAGGTGGGACTATCATACAGGGTAAAATGTGGTTTCCAGCCTCTCCACCACAAGAGTGGCCACTGCCAAAACTTTCCCAGTAAGTTAATGGGATATGGAATATTTGTTCTGCAGCAGGGCAGGGGGTGGAGGTGGTGGAAAAGAGCAGCAGAGCAGGGCTGGGGGTTGTTCTTTGTATTTTCCCAACCTGTAGATCTGGGGCCAACAGTCGAAGAATCGTGAGGTCAAAGCCCTTATCAAGTTTCCCTAACATCATGATTAAAACCCAATAACACAACACCTCCACCAGCAAAGAGAAGTGGAAAATCTTGTTACCCACAAAAACTCCACAAGTGAGCTGGTGCAAGGCTAGTTCCAAGACTTGTCCCAAGATGTGCCACTGCAAATAAAGGCAGTCCCTGCTCCTGTGTGCCCGTTCCTGGCCCCTGCCCCCCAGCCAGGCTGGCATGGTGCGAGGGGAAAAGGCAGCTCAGGTGGATGAGTGTTTTGGTGGCTGTTCTGGCTTAGGAGCTGGTTGCACTGCAGCTTGTGTCACTGGTTTAAACTGATTCATTCTGAAGGATTCCTGAAGGGATAGTTCCTCCCTTATATTAGCTGTGAGAATTGTGTATCATGTAGCTAATGATACTAAAAAACTAATCAGGGTGACCTTTCAGCTGGCACAGCAGCAGGTTAGGTAATCCAGGCTGGAGACACAAGCATCACTTGTGCTGAAAGAAGGCAGAAGCTCTATTCCAGGGCAAACTCAGATCAGCTGAAGCGGCTTGTGAAAATTACTCCCTTGGCAGACAAACAGGGCAGGAGATATCACAGACAAAGGGATGGTGGTGGGAGAGAGGTGCCAGTGCTGGAGTTTGTAGAGTGCCAGAAAAAAAGATGGTTTGTGCAGCCAGCAAATATGTCACAGAATCCCAGAACCATCTGGGTTGGAAAAGCCCCTGAAGCTCCTCCAGCCCCACGATGACCCTCCCCCTGACCGTTCCCAGCTCCCCCAGATCCCTCAGCGCTGGCTCAGCCCGACTCTTCAACCCCTCCAGGGATCCCGGGGACTCCCCCCCTGCCCTGGGCAGCCCATTCCAACGCCCAACAGCCCCTTCTGCACAGAAATCCTTCCTCAGAGCCAGCCTGACCCTGCCCTGGGCAGCTTGAGGCCATTCCCTCGGGGCCTGGCGCTGGGGCCTTGGCTCCAGAGACTCATCCCCCCTCTCTGCCCCCTCCTGGCAGGGAGTTGCCGAGGGCCAGGAGGTCTCCCCTCAGCCTCCTCTTCTCCAGACTGAACCCCCCCAGTTCCCCCAGCCGCTCCCCAGAAGACCTGTGCTCCAGACCCTGCCCCAGCTCCGTTGCCCTTCTCTGGCCACGCTCGAGTCATTCAATGGCCTTTTTGGGGTGAGGGGCCCAAAACTGAACCCACTCAGCGAGGGGCGGCCTCACCAGTGCCCAGCCCAGGGCTCAGATCCCTTCCCTGTCCCTGCTGGCCACGCCAGTGCTGACACCAGCCAGGATGCCATTGCCCTCCTTGGCCCCCTGGGCACACTCTGGCTCATTCTCACCCTCCCAGTCCCTCTCTGACCGGCAGCTCTCCAGCCACTCCTCCCCAGGCCTGTAGCCCTGCTGGGGGTGGTTGTGGCCCAAGGGCAGCCCCCGGCATTTGCCCTTAGTGAGACTCCCCCAGTTTGCTTCAGCCCAGCAATCCAGCCCATTTTTCAGGCCACCTGTCTTCCAAGCCACATGGCTTTCCTAGTGATGGGATCACTCCACTAAGAGGCACAAAGGAGCTCTGCAGTGCAGGGCGTCAACAGCAACACACACCATTAATCCAGGCAATGCACCACTCCATGGTGACCAGCTCAAGAAGTTTGGCTGTTAGATGCCTTCTGAAAAAGGACGTGAAACATTTTTCACTGCATTAGGGATGTGCCCAGGAAGGGACAGCAGCAGACCCTCATCTTACCTGCGTGAGGTAGTAGACGTGGGTGTGAGGCATGGTGTAGAGGGTATTGATGGCCCCTCGGAAGCTATAGATCTTCTGGTGAGGGTCTCCTACGAGGATTACACCACACGTCTGCGACAGCACAATATCCATGATGGCTGCAGGAAAACAGAGCATTAAGGAGGAGCCTGCTCCTAAACCAAGAGGGAACTGTACAGTATCTTTTGCTTGTACAGAGGCAAGATCTCTTGCCTGGTGACTCACGACATTTAAGAAAGGGTCAACACAGCTGCAGGAGACAACAGATTGGGGAGAAGCAAAGGGAAACATGTAATTCACTGGGAGCTCTATAAACATCCTCCCACTATTTCAGACTGCTGGTATTTTTTCCTGCCCAGCAGCTTCATCCCACCCTTGGGAGCCCAGCACAAATCTGGCACCCATCCCCAGTGACCCAGGCTCAGCGCACAGCTCAGCTCTTCGGTTCACTTTGACCAAGGCTCAGTGATGTTGGCAGACCAACCGCTCGCATCGCACGCAGCCGCCAAAGCACAGCCAAACCCTCACGAGAGCAGGTCTCCGGGGAGTACACTTGCTCTGAAGAAGCCTTTCAGCTGGTTTCATATCCGCTGCAAAGATCAGGCCTTCTTCTGCCCCACTTCTTTTGCCTGTCAGCACACAGTTCCCTTCGCAGAACCGATTCAATTTGCTTTGCAACAGAGAGCTACTCCCCATATCCCCGGCAAAGAAAGCCAGCAGCTTTCTGCTGGGTGACTCAGGAATCCCCAGGGTGGAGCAAGGAACACGCAAGACTTGCACCCAGTGCTGGGGTGGGGTGGAGCAGCTCTGCTGTTTCGATAGTTGAACCATTTAATGTCTCACCAGTCTTGTAATAAACCATGTCCTTGACTATGCTGGTGGTCTGTTTTTCTCTGTTAGCAGCAAAGCAATAGCAAATGGGTCTGGATGGCACATCTGGATGCCTAAAGCAACTGAAAGCAACCCCTCAAACTGCTGCACATGTACTCTTGTAGCCTGATTACAAGCTGCCTTACTGAATTTAAAAGGATCTGGGACCAAGCAACAGAGCAGTTATGTTACAGCTGAGGGGCAGAATTTTCTTGATTGTGCTACTTCTCACACACCCCTGAGCACACAAACATCCTCTCCGTAAAGTGCTTAGGAAGGTTGCAGCTCTGTCTCCCATCACCACTCACCCTGAGTGCAGTCCTGTGCTTCATCAACAAAAATGGCATCATATCCTGAGAGCTGAGGCTTGCTGAGCTGCCAAAGTTTCAAATACCCTGAGGGAAAGAACAAGGCACATCAGCGAGAGGGTAATTTTTTTCATTGTAAAACACCATGATCTTTAAAACATGTCCCTTTTCTTAAAAAAACAAAGTTTCTGGCCCTACTTTTTGCTTGGAATTTGCATGACATTTGGAGCGGTTGTAGAAATCTCTGTCGTTCCCAGATGTTGCTCTGTCTCCTTTGGCTGTAGGAAGGATGAAAAAAAACCCACTCCCAAAACAACCTGACTGCACTGGAGGAAGGCAGCTATGTTGATGACTCCAAAACTCTTAATGCACAAAGAAAATGACAAAGATTTTCCCCAGTACGAGCTACCTCTGGCACTATCTGCACACATGCTAAGAAGCGAGAGGAAAGCACATGCTGGCAGCAGCAAGAAACACTGTTAGCACTCGTTTGCCCACTGCCTCACCCATTATTTCTAGGATTTTGCTGCCACTCACACACATCTAAATAGTTTCACCATTTTTGTGAGGAAAAATGAACAAACTACCAGCCTTCAGGACTGTTTTGAGCTCCCTGGTGAGCCAGTGGCAGGAGAACAGATATTTTATATTTTTTGATGCTCATTCCTGGTGCACAGCCAGAAGCAAGAAGTATGAATCCATTTATTATAGTTTTCTACTACAGCTCTTTATCTGAAGGCATTTGATACGTATACTCTTACCATCATAAGTCATCTTGTATTTCTTCTCTACATCTCCATCCAGCTTCTTCATGTTGTGCCATATCTCTCTGGCCTCTTTCACGTTTATCTAGGAAGAGAAAACAGAAGGGTCTGGATAGATTGTTTTGAGCAGAAAACCAGTCCAGGCACAGCAAATCTTGAAAGGCTTCTCTGAAGCCTTTCTCCTCCTCTTCTGTGTCACCACCAGTTAACTTCTCCTTAACACAGTCTTTTCCAAAGGCAGCCCCCTGAGAAGAACATTACTTTGGCTCAGCTCTTAGGACCCTGTAATACTGTCCTAACTTCTACACATTAACACAGACTTTGCATTTATTTTGGCTTCTCTGGACAGCTTGCAAGGTGCTTAAAGATATTTAATATTTTGAGGCTGCGAGTTCATTGCCTGCCAGAAATAACGACTGCAAATTGCATTTCTGCTGGCTGGACTGGATCTGATTGGGTGTGATCAGTGCAGAGCAGAAAGGCTAATTTTCTCCACAACTCCAGCCCACGTTGTTTGCGATGTCAGCGCTGCTTTAAGTGTTGCTAAGATGTCTGTAGTCTAAATGAGAATTTTGGGGTTTGGCTCTGCATATCAAAATGACTACAAAAATGTTTATTGTCTTTTCATATAATATCACAGTGCTGTTCAGGCACTGATATAAATACATGCAATCTCTTCTCTCTTTTCCTTGGAGGGAAGAAACATCTGCACTGAGCAGAGACAGTGATACTCTCCTCTCTACAAACCAGCTGTGCGAACAGGGAGAACAAACAGGCTCCAGTTAGTTTTTATTTGTCACCAGAGGGAAAAAAATATTTTGACGGTCAGTTCTTACAGCTGAAGCATAAATACCTGTGAACTATGAGAGATGTGGGATAACTACAGCCCCTTCTAAACCTTGCAACCCAAGTCTTGCTTCATCTCAGATACCCACCTCCTTTTCTATGTCACTGACAAGTTTTCTTGCACCATGAGTATCTTTGAACCAAACAGGAGTGTGTTCTTCGCAGATCTCTTCATCCGAAGAGGCAAAAAAGGTTTCAAGGGTCTGCAAGACTGTTTTCCCTCTTATAAACAGAGATTGTCCCTTGCGGTTCTGGATGAGGAAACTGATGGAGTAAGCTGACATCTTGAGGAACTTGAGCTTACCTTTTTCGTAATAGCTGTGCCATAGATGACAAAAAATAAGAGAGACTTGTTGAAACACATACGAAAAGCCTACTGGAAAAGCAAGCTTGCTTTTGCTTTTGTCACACACTAACACTTGCAGAAGCTCTGTTTTATACACCCACTTTGACCAGGTAATAGAATATCTTTAAAATCTGCACATATCTATCCTGGTGGAAGCACAAACTTATTAATATTATATATTTTATAGATGAAAAGTCGAGCCAGAGAGGTATTTTCATTGTTCACCCCTGCAATTACAGATTGGTTTCAGAGCCAGGTAAGTGGATTCCCCTCCTCTTCCAGGTCATGGCTAATTTTCCCTTCTGTCTGCAGTTTAGATGGCCAGAAACTGGATTATTAGAACAAGTCGGGTTAAGAAAAACCCTCCTCTGCTAAAGAAAAGCAGCATTTAGAGTGGTTGTACCACTGAAGTGTGAATGGGAAATAGGAAAAAGCCATTCTTAGTGGCTTTCCATCTCCCTGTGAAGTCTGTCTTGGCTACAAACATGGGCAGGATGAACAGCCCCCAGACCAGCAATGGGGTTTATGTCAGCAGACTCTGTGACAGACCAGGTAATGAGGTTGTTTCCCCAGGCTCGCAGAGATGCTAAAATCACTGGCTCATCCAATCTGAAGGAATCTAAAATCCCCACTCACTGTTTGCCGACACTTCCATATGCTAATGAATGGAAAGTCCTGCACGTAACGTTTCTGGGGAAGACAGTTTTCCCCCTGTCTGCAACAGCTTTGTTAAATGTCACGTAAAGGAAATTCAGATCAGCGAACTTCTCTGCATACTTGATCAAGGTTGTGGTCTTTCCTGTACCTGAAGAAGTAAACAACAAAGCATCCAGAGTCAGGAATGAATGAACCCGCACACCTCTCATCAGCTTTGCCTTCCGCCTCTTGCTGTCCTAACTGTAGAGCAGGGCTATTTGCAGCTAATGGGGATTTATTCACTGACTCCCAGAACCATCTGGGTTGGAAAAGCCCCTGAAGCTCCTCCAGCCCCACCATGACCCTCCCCCTGACCGTTCCCAACTCCCCCAGA